AATCAAGTTTCTCCAATCTTCTCAAAACTCTGGATTATGATAGAGGGCCGCGAGACTTTGACCTGAGCGCAAAAATGGAGGCTCTAGACCCTTCCAGAGCTGAGATATCGAAACTCAAAATTTCGACCCGAAAAAAAAACGACAGTGTTACCCCTTACGTTTTTTTGCGTTTTCGGGCGAAAAATCAAGTTTCTCCAATCTTCTCAAAACTCTGGATTATGATAGAGGGCCGCGAGACTTTGACCTGAGCGCAAAAATGGAGGCTCTAGACCCTTCCAGAGCTGAGATATCGAAACTCAAAATTTCGACCCGAAAAAAAAAACGACAGTGTTACCCCTTACGTTTTTTTGCGTTTTCGGGCGAAAAATCAAGTTTCTCCAATCTTCTCAAAACTCTGGATTATGATAGAGGGCCGCGAGACTTTGACCTGAGCGCAAAAATGGAGGCTCTAGACCCTTCCAGAGCTGAGATATCGAAACTCAAAATTTCGACCCGAAAAAAAAACGACAGTGTTACCCCTTACGTTTTTTTTGCGTTTTCGGGCGAAAAATCAAGTTTCTCCAATCTTCTCAAAACTCTGGATTATGATAGAGGGCCGCGAGACTTTGACCTGAGCGCAAAAATGGAGGCTCTAGACCCTTCCAGAGCTGAGATATCGAAACTCAAAATTTCGACCCGAAAAAAAAAACGACAGTGTTACCCCTTACGTTTTTTTGCGTTTTCGGGCGAAAAATCAAGTTTCTCCAATCTTCTCAAAACTCTGGATTATGATAGAGGGCCGCGAGACTTTGACCTGAGCGCAAAAATGGAGGCTCTAGACCCTTCCAGAGCTGAGATATCGAAACTCAAAATTTCGACCCGAAAAAAAAAACGACAGTGTTACCCCTTACGTTTTTTTGCGTTTTCGGGCGAAAAATCAAGTTTCTCCAATCTTCTCAAAACTCTGGATTATGATAGAGGGCCGCGAGACTTTGGCCTGAGCGCAAAAATGGAGGCTCTAGACCCTTCCAGAGCTGAGATATCGAAACTCAAAATTTCGACCCGAAAAAAAAAACGACAGTGTTACCCCTTACGTTTTTTTGCGTTTTCGGGCGAAAAATCAAGTTTCTCCAATCTTCTCAAAAATGGAGGCTCTAGACCATTCCAGAGCTGAGATATCGAAACTCAAAATTTCGACCCGAAAAAAAAACGACAGTGTTACCCCTTACGGTTTTTTTCGTTTTCGGGCGAAAAATCAAGTTTCTCCAATCTTCTCAAAACTCTGGATTATGATAGAGGGCCGCGAGACTTTGGCCTGAGCGCAAAAATGGAGGCTCTAGACCCTTCCAGAGCTGAGATATCGAAATTCAAAATTTCGACCCGAAAAAAAAAACGAAAGGGGTAACACTGTCGGGTTTTTTTTCGGGCGAAAAATGAAGTTGAATGAGTGCAAAAATGGAGGCTCTAGACCCTTCCAGAGCTGAGATATGTTAAAGGATGTATAGGCCAAACCAGGTGTTATCAGAATCCCGATATTCACACGGCTCCATCACAACATGTCTTCATATTAGGGACTGAAGTGAGTGTTGGCAGTCAGGTGCTGGAGGAGTGGAGGAACGGATGTGAAGAGGACACAATCAGCGCCAACACGCACTCATCCACATAAACACTGCTGGGCTTATTACACACAGCACTGATCTGGCACTGCCCTACTGTGTACTTGACCAGACAGCAGGTGCACACGCACAAACACACACACACGCACACCACAGACAGTGTGTGAATCTCAACAAAACAAGATCCTGGTCACACTTCACCCTAAAATATAAATCTGGAAATATAAAGACTTAGAGCTGAGTGCAAAAATAGAGGCTCTAGACCCTTCCAGAGCTGAGATATTGAGATATTTATAATGGCATAAACGCTACGTGGGATCCCAATATCTCGGCTCTGGAAGGGTCTAGAGCCTCCATTTTTGCACTCAAGTCTAAGTCTCATGGCCCTCTATCAGAATCCAGTGTTTTGAGAAGATTGGAGAAACTTAATTTCTGACCCCGAAAAAAAAAACGAACCACTGTCGTTTTTTTTTTTTGGTCGAAATTTTGAGTTTCTCTGATCTTCTTGAAACTCTGGATTCTGATAGAGGGCCATGACACTTAGACTTGAGTGCAAAAATGGAGGCTCTAGACCCTTCCAGAACTTAGATATTGAGATATTTATAATGGCATAAATGCTCCGTGGGATCTCAATATCTCAGCTCTGGAAGGGTCTAGAGCCTCTATTTTTGCACTCAAGTCTAAGTCTCATGGCCCTCTATCAGAATCCAAAGTTTGGAGAAGTTTGGAGTGCGGAAGTTGTGCAACTCTTTTATACTCGTGGACAATCTGAGAGAGAGAGAGAGAGAGAGAGAGAGAGAGAGAGAGAGAGAGAGAGAGAGAGAGCGCATCACTTTTCTGCTTCATTTCAGAAATATTTTGGGTACTTTTATGTTAAAGGGGTCATCAGATGCAAAACTCACTTTTATAGGTGTGTGCATATAGATGTGTGTGTGCAGTGTGTGAACACAACCACCAGACAAGGAAGAAAAACTCATTCACTCCTTTTTTTAATCCTCAAAAAGTCTAAACACTCTCAGTAATCAAGCGTTTGGTCATTGGATGGTAATTTGATCTCTCTGTAGCCCCATGGGGGAGCAGTGGCTTGTTCTCATTTAAAGAGACGCACCGGAACGGGTCGCTGTGAGCAGAGCTGTGAGGAGGTAAAGAGTGTTGTTTTACACAAACATTGAGGAATCTGAACTAAAGTATGTTACAAACTTTACATGAAGACCCTAAAGAATCACACAACTTGGACACTGGGCATTGACGACCCCTTTAACACACACTCCTAGCGCGACTGTGCACGGATCATCAGTTTCTCGGGCGTCACCTGGCGGAGCCATTGATCAGCGCCACGATCTCATGCCGCGTCAGCTGGAAGCCGATCAACGGACTGTTCTCCGGGAGGTCTTTGATCTCCCTCGCAGAGAACAAGATCCTGAGCGCCATCCCCAAACCCTGCGTCTGTGGCAACAGTGTGTGTGCGAGTTAGTCTCGTTTGACATCATCAGGACTCCTCTGGCATCATCAGGACCCCTCTGACATCATCAGAACTCCTCTGTCATCATCAGGACCCCTCTGACATCATCATCAGGACCCATCTGACATCATCAGAACTCCTCTGTCATCATCAGGACCCCTCTGACATCATCAGAACTCTTCTGTCATCATCAGGACCCCTCTGACATCATCAGAACTCCTCTGTCATGATCAGGACTCCTCTAACATCATCATCAGGACCCCTCTGACATCATCACAACTCCTCTGTCATCATCAGGACCCCTCTGACAGCATCATCAGGACGCCTCTGACATCATCAGAACTCCTCTGTCATCATCAGGACCCCTCTGACATCATCAGGACCCCTCTGACATCAGGACCCCTCCTGCAGAGACATGAGTGACAGCGCTTGTTTACTGAGCAACACCCACACACACAAACACACTGGTGATCTGCCGTGAAACACAACAGTTAGTTTCCGGACATCTAGCGGTGGAACGGATCACCAAACTCACGGTTCGGATCAGCTGCAGATCATTCTTCAGATAAAATAAACTAATATATATATATATATATATATATATATATATGAAGAGTTCAGATGCAAAAGCCTCTAAATGCCATTTGAAATTTTTCTTCTTTAATGATGATTTTTATCAAACTTGTATATTTAAGTTCAGTAATTTCACTTAAATAACAATTAATAGGTAATTATCATTGCAATTTAAGTGAAATCACTGAACTTAAATATACAAGCTTGATAAAAATGATCATTCTAGAAGAAAATTTCAAATGGCACTTAGAGGCTTTTGCATCTGAACTCTTCATATATATATATATATATATATATATATATATATGGGGGGAGGGGGGTTCACTTGAAAAAAAAAAAACTACAATTATTCAATTTTAGCCATTCAAATATAAATGGTTCAAATTCAGTTTCTGGTGGCACATATATTTCAGCCCATACTTGTATTTAGACGTTTTAGACTATCTTAGTACATGTTTTTTTTTTTTTTAATAACCCAAAACCCTTTACATAGAGTTTCCGTAGTGTAGTGGTTATCACGTTCGCCTAACACGCGAAAGGTCCCCGGTTCGAAACCGGGCGGAAACAACTTTTTTTTTCTTTCATAAAACCTCTCATCAAAAGTACCGTTAAATATACCGGGGGAGGGGGCATGGCTACACGTTAAACATCAGGTTTTGTAATTACCTACCCGTTGTTTTCTTTTTTAAATCAAAAGAGAAATAAAAACATACGAAAATACATTCATAGTTGGGACTTCTATATACAAACACGGAGAGACTTTTATTCTGAAATCAACACTGTGCCTGCAGAAAAAACGACTTGAAATGACATTTTCAGATACATGCTGAAGGCTTCACGCTGACGCTAGCTGAATATAATCAAAATATGCCTAGTTTTAACTACGGGGATGATCCGGTAAATTTTAAGATGCACTTAAATTGCATGCATGTGATTTTAAGTAACTTAGCGTCTTTAGTATTATGCTCTTTAGAGTTTTCAGCTGCATCTCTGTACGGAGCTAATAACAGTCATCAAACTCTTTGCTCAAATGTTTAATTAACTGAATTTTATTTTATAGAAATCTACGTTCCAGAGAGGAAACAAAATTTGATCAAGTTTAAGTTGTTTGGAAACGTTTATTGGCCATTAGCGTTGTATCGGTGGCTTAGGTCTATTGAGGAAGTCATTCTGCAATTACTCTATTTTAAAGTTGTACGCCTTATTTTGTCATTCATATTAAACATTCACATGTGAATATTCTGATATATTATATTGATTATAGTCTTAGATACTGGCAGACAAAACAGCTGCATAAAGCCGCATAAAAACTGCGCAGCTATGATGCGCTAGAACACTGCTCTTTGGATGGTTCAAACGACGCTGTTTACACTGCACGAATGGGTTTAGATTCGCTGATCTGTAGAACACAAACACACGTCAGCGTTGCGTGCGTATGTTTTATAGATCATATCGAATGCGGGCCTAATTTGACAGCACGATTCAGCCATTCCATTGGGTTTTAACGATTGAGTGGCGCATTAAAATAGAATCTCTCATTCAGGATATGATAACTGTACACCCACACTGAAATGAGTATCAGAGATAAAGAGCTTAATATACATTTCAAACCCGGGCACGTTGAGGTTGTTCAGGTAAGACTGTTAACCTTTTCTAAGAAAGCCTTCGTGGTAACGTTATACAAGCCGAAGTAACTTAACTTTATATATCAAATGACTGCCTTATAATCCATGAAGATCCGTTCTGTGGTCATTTTAATACTTAAAAATGAAAACAAATCATGTAATTGTTATCGCGTAGTTTAGTTTCAGTTATGACTGAATTGCATATCCATTAATTAATTTGGCAGCTTTAAACTACAAGGCATACGAGTGCCTTCCTAAGAAATTAGACATACGGTGCTCATGATGTTTTTCATTTTTCATTAAAACCCTGTGCGACACTTATGTGTTGTCTCTCCATTTAAACCCTCTGTTGGTTAATCCCCTTTAACCAGTTTCCTAAGTGTCTAGATGCAAGTCAGATTTAAAGTTGAACTACAACGTGATTGAGAGCATATATAAAACAACGGAAAAGCCATTTTATCTGTACAAATTTAACTTAAAGTCTGTAAAATGTAACTTAAAATACATGTCTGACTGGAGTAAAAATTAAAAAAAAGGCAAAACTTTAAATGCATAAATAAAAAATATATTTACCAAAAACGTTAACACAGAAATGGACTGTTCACATGGAATGGAGCGAGATCACTTTCTCCCAAGAATAAATCATCCAGCTGTAGTTACACAATCTCCTGAGGGTGGCGCTAATAGTGACTAATAGACATCTGAGCTCAAAATCATCGTGAACATTACTTTCAGCTTGTGAGGCTGTTTGAAACAAACGTTTACATATCATATAACTTACAAATGCAAAAAAAAAAAAAAAAAAAAAAAAAGATGTATCAAAAAAGGTTCTGACTGGGGTTATTATGTGTCGTCACGCACGAGTCTGTAAGCGATGGTAAACGTTATTAGTTTCATCAATAACATCCTCTATTAGCGTTACAACAATCATAGGCTATAATATAAATGAAAGTACCGTTAAACGTCCTCTTAATTGGACTGATAAGAAACGTTAGACTAATTAGTCATTAAACAATTAACAACATTTTGTTTTATTAGACACACTTATTTACAACAACAAATTTTTTTTTTTTTTTTTTACAAAATCTCTCGTTGGAAGACTCATGTGCATAACATAAACAGTTAAATTGAACAAAATTCAACAATTAACAACATGACATCTTTCAAATATCAAAACTCATAATAAGCAATCGACGTTCACGGACATCATTTGAGGTAAATTGTAATCCTCGTAGCCTACGCCACTTAACTAAGTTAACTTAAGTAACAGTCACTTCATCAACACGACCGCGATGGCTAATTCAGATTAATTTATCAAGAATATTGTTATATCTTACCTTTCTTCGTTTGTTTCGCAGATTTGAGAATGTCGATCGCACGTAAAACACCAATCATCGACACGGGCTTTTCCCATCACGACGAATGGAAATCATCCGCCAATAATATTGCTGGGGCGTGTAGTGTTCAGATTCTGTGATGGGCGGCTCTCATTGGTTTTCAGTTGTGTCAATCAAATCTGATTTCGTTCTAAAAAAATTATCCGCAAGTTTCCTACGCCCCATGAGGCCTTGACATGCTTGATACTCGTTCATTCAACAGTTGACAGTCATTCAAGTAGCGATCCAAACTAGCTAACGATGTGGGAACACAACCTCAACGAAATTAAAAAGGGTGAAATAAAAGTACCTTTACCCTCCGGCCTCCGCAGTGTATTATAATAACATTATTAATAATCAATACTCATCAAGGCATGGTGACAGACAGTTGTGTGAGCTGACAAACAATTAAAATAAAAAATACACACTTAGTCATTGTGCTTTGGAGTTTATTCAAAATTATAAATGAATGTGCTACTGGAATACATTAACTGGCACATTTGGTATTCTGTCAACACAGGCTTTGATCCTGAGTTAAGGTGCAACATCAGTAGCGAACAGCCAATCACATGCTGATAGAGTTTATAGAATATTAAGAATTTAAACAAATGTACACAGGAAGATTCGTCGTCTTTTGGGAGGTGATGGAAACCACAGTCATTGGCAGGATCAGAGACGGGCTCTGGCAGGATCACTGTGATTTCGTTTTCAGCTTATGTTCAAAACAATCATGTTTAAGCCACTGAACTAGTTTAAACCGGTTATACATACAACCGCGAACAGCACATGTTGTCGCTGAGCTCCGTAACGACATCTCTCATAAAGATTTGCGTCTTTAAATAGTAAAATAATTCTCCGAAAAACAGCTGGCCTCTTCGCTAACTAACACACAAAATACCATTGGAATGCTACTTCCGCCGCGTCACCGGAAGTTTCACCCACTTTATTTTTTACAGGAGCGCCCCTCGGAAACTTGTGGATATATTTAATTATTTTTCTAAATTCTAATAGACACAACGATTTAAAAAAAAAAATGTTTCCCTATGTATTGACATTCTTCAAATTATGAATAATAAAGAAAACGTTCACATACGTCGAAAGATCGCTTTATCTGCAAAGCTGTTGTCTACTAAGTCTACAAACATCAGAAAAACATCTTTAAACAAACAGTTATAGCGTACATGGCCTAAATTATAAATCTTAAAGAAATTTTGACATCTGACAGGAAACATTTTAAAGGCGTATTGCAGATGAGCAAAAGCTCTGAAAAATACTTGCATCCTCCAGACAAAAACATGCCCATCAACCAGACACCTCTGCTATGCGTGTGTAGGCTATTAAACTGTTCTATCATTTAGGATGATGTTTACACACCATACCGGCGTGTGCTTGTGACTGGTGCAACAGGGCTACTGGGCCGTGCTGTTTATAAAGAGTTCAAGAACAATGACTGGGATACTTTGGGATGTGGCTTCAATCGTGCCCGGCCTTGTTTTCTGAAGTGTAATCTCTTAGATGAAGATGCCGTGCGAGGGGTCATTCAGAGCTTTCAGGTAACTTGCACTCTATCACATTATTGCCCTAACCCTAATAAGATCACCCATTGCTACTTTCTTACCACCACCACCAACACATTTTTTAATACATTACATGCTTGATGTGTCAAAATTGTTTTTCTTCATTTTGTGAATGTCAGCCTCATGTCATTGTGCACTGTGCTGCTGAAAGGAGGCCAGACGTGGTGGAGCATCATACTGAAGCAGCCATGAACCTGAATGTGCATGCATGCACTACTCTGGCCAAAGAAGCAGGTCAGTAAAGTGACACACGTCGAGCGAAGCGGGCCATGTTAGTCAAGCTCGCATCAGCTGACTCTCAGGAGATTCTGTATGCTAATTGTTAATTGTATTTGACGATAGTGGTCCTGACAGAACTGTTAGATATGGTTATAATAAATGCAAAATTTCTTGTTAAAGTTCTCCATACTCCCTTTCCAAAGGTAGCATCTTCCTCATATACATCAGCACAGATTACGTTTTTGATGGACGTAATCCTCCTTATGGGGAAAACGATGCCCCCAATCCTTTGAATTTGTATGGGAAGTCCAAGCTAGAGGGTGAGAGGGAGATTCTCAGACACTGCCCAGGTATGTTCTGTTTTTTTTATCTTCATTACAAAATAAAAATAGATTTAAGCTAGACTGAGGTGTGAGAGCCACAATGATATTAAGAGAATATAACATGTATGTTCTCTTTAAAAACAATTCTGTCTGTCTTTGCTGTGAGCAGGGGCAGCTATACTGCGAGTGCCCATTCTCTATGGAGAGGTGGAGAAGGTTGAAGAGAGCGCAGTGACCGTTTTGTGGGACCGAGTTCAGGAGGGAGCCGAGAGTTGCGCCATAGAACATTGTCAGCAACGCTTCCCCACCTTCACTAAAGATGTGGCACGTGTCTGTCGGAACATGGCTGAGCGAGCCCTTCAGGTGAGCCCCGGGGGGGTCTAGGGCTGGATTAAACTAAGTCACTTCGTTGTCCCCAGGTAGAGAATGCTTGCACAATGCACGTTCCAGTCCAGAATCATCTTAACCTTTGATTTCTGCACAACATATTCGTTTCCCTCAGGATCCATCCTTGCGTGGAATCTTCCATTACTCTGCCAAAGAGCAGATGACCAAATATGAGATTGCCTGTGCAATAGCAGATGCTTTCAACTTGCCTAGCAGTCATCTAATACCAGTGAGTACAAAAATTAAATCAATTAAAATTGTGTGCTGAAAAGATCACCATCACGTATTTTGTCCTTCCTACAGTGAGTACAGTCCAGGGTCGGAAATGAACAGAGGCTTAGGGCAACAATTCCAGCCAAATGAACTGTAGCACCTCATTGCAGTACACAAGATCCAGGGGGAGGAGTTGGATCCAGATCTAAGGGGTGGAGATGGGTAGATTTTAGGTGGGAGGAGTTGGATTTGGATCCAACTCCTCCCCCTGGATTTCATGTTCTGCAGTGAGAACCATCTCAAAATGAACAAAATGCCCCCCCAAATTCACGATAAAGCGGCCCAAAATACCCCTATATATATATATATATATATATATATATATAACATTTATCAACTGTCGCTATTAAAGATGTACAAAGATGTCAGTGATGTACATAATTTAATCCCACTATGAATAACCGTTTTGTTTTTCATGCTATTATAACCCATGTGAAGTTTTAATTTGATCTAATTTGATCATGTAAAGATGACTTTTGTTGATGTAATTTTATTCCTAAAGGCAGGAGGCAAATATTTCCCCTTAACAGAAAAGTTAGTTTCTGACCCTGGGACAGTCTGTATACACTCTTGTCTTGCATGTAACATGCATATTATAGCTACTGTATATGTGGAACATTTGTGTAAATATAGTGATAAAATATGATTTTGTTCAGTTTGATCAGTTTAGTTGTTTAATGTGATAATCTTGTGTGTGTAGATGACAGAGCAGCCTGCTGGAGCAGGGGCTCAGAGGCCACAAAATGCCCAGTTAGACTGCTCACGTCTGGAGCTCCTCGGCCTGAGTGTGGAGCCTGTCCCTTTCAAGACTGCCATAAGGGACAGCCTATGGCCCTTCCAGCATGACAAACGATGGAGGCAGACCGTCTTTCATTAAAGCAACGACTATATTCCAAACTCCAGAAGGAAATTTGTCCACACATTTAAACGTTTAGCATTTAATTATTTCACAGCAACAATAATTCTGATAAAAATGATCCTCGCTTTGCACAAGTCCAGCTGCTTTGTTTAATGTCGAAGTATACATTTGTTATAGCCAATAGGTATTTCACCTTTGTGTTTTTGTGTTAATTGCACTATATATTAATATATAATATATAGTCCTCAACTGGGCTTTGTGTTTCTTTCCTGTACTAATTAATGTAAATGACAAGTTGAAGACAGGAATGTTTGATAAAGGAACAGATGATATGCTCAATTTCTGTTGTTCCCGCTCTCTTTTTTTTTTAAATAAATAAAAATAACAATAAACACCAGACATTTATTCAAGGAAATGAGAATGAATAAAGTATCAGGAAGCTAACATTTAGCCTTTCTTTCTTGACGATTAAACGTTTCCCCCCCATATACTTTACATAACGGGAATGTTATTTAGATAAGGCTACAAATACTTGGATAATCACAGAAGTTACCTAGTTTGTTCCAGAAGCACATCATCAATATATTGTGACTTTAAAAGTAGACTAAAAACCCTGACTCATTATCATTGTATTTACATCTACATACTGGAAATCTTAGCAGTTTCAAGTAAACTCAAGTGAAACATAAATGACTTTTTTCCACAATTTCACAATCCAATTGTTAGTCTTTTGCAAGATCCTTTTAACCAACAAAAGCCAGTTCCTTAATTATGTGGAGAAGTGACATATTACTAATTCATTTGGTACATTTGTTAAGGTTTTGTTTTATTGGTTAGTTTTTACAGTAACAGAATTTTAAAAGATGTTTCAAAAACATGAGCTCCCTCTCAACCCTTCAGTTGGCAGTCATATTTTATTGATATCTTGTTAGGCATTCAGTTCGTTTCTTTATTTTCTTCATGTTATTGTCTTGGCATCATGTAATCAAGGTGAGATTGAGATTGACCAAAGCATATTTCTGAAAACATGATATGCTAAAACAAGCATACTTAAAAAAAAACAAAAAAAAAAAACAAATCTGTTATAACCATAGACAGTAAAGGTTATAACAGACCCGGCTAACGGGTCTATCTTAAATTGCCATTATAATAATAATAATATTAGCGGCTTAGCCTACTATAAAACGTAAGTGATGAAGTGTTGTTTTTATCAAACCTCCGCATACTAGTACTCGCACTAAGTTTACCATATCTTACGGTAGAAATAGTAACTATGCTGGTGTGAGAAGTTATTTCTTGTGTCTTGGTGACGTTTTCTCAAACGAGCGGGTGGGCGGGGTTATTGGGTTGTGCTGTATAGCGGTCAGCTGATATTACCACGAGTTTCCAATGGCAGTCAGCGCACCGCTGTCTACGTGACATCACCGTTGTGACCAAATCGAGAAGCGTTATTTGATTCTTCATTGCAGCTTCATCGGTTTACGAATGACTTCAGCGGAGGAATAATAACAAAACCAAATTCTGAAAGACAACAAAGGAAGTACTAGCGCAATTTGCTGAACAGAAACAGGTTTTTCCTCAAAAGGTAAAAAAAAAACTTAACGTTATTTGCCTTTTCAATACAATACACGCTAACCAAATGAAATGTATTTCGTCTTAGAAATGATTTAGTCTAATTTCCTAGTGAATATGGTTGTTGTTTTGGTTCTGTCAAACATTGACCACTGAATGGTTGGTAACGTTAAATTAGTCCGCAGGGTCTTACCGCCCCTCCATTTTCCTCCACTCATACTATGGCGCACACGAAATATCGCTTGCCCATGAGAAGATAATTATTTAAAGCTATTCTATTATTAGCTAGTGTGAGACATGAAGACATAACGTATAAGTCAAGTTGTTTTGTTTGTACTGTAAACTACTGTTTTCATAATGTGTGTCGCACATTTATTCGCGTGGGTAAATGAGATCCTGACCTTTGTTTGGCAGCAGGTGAACAATCATCTTGTTGTAAAAGAAGTAGATCGCCTGATTCTGATTATTACTGCAGTGTGTGTGTAACACTACTGCATTCACCGTCATAGAGAGTGGGGCGTGTTAATGTGTAGGCCAAAAAACAATATACGTGCTTGACACTTTTTATTATCATTAGTTCATAGTCACACTTCGCTCATTTCAGATGGGGTGTCTAACTTTGGTTTAGCTAAGTATCAGCATGTAGTTTGATCCTTCTATTATCAGAGCAAGTTTGTGAAATGTATCCAAAAACTTTGAGTGCATAACATGTGTGGATAATAAATTGAAAGATTGAGGTATAAATTAAATGATCAGATTTAATTAATAAAATAAAAGCATCAATGCTACAATCGGGCCCATGGTCTACTCTAGCCCAGGCCCCTGATAAAACACACTGTAATACTTGTACACATAAGTGGATATGCCTGTTAAATTATACATTTAAGGCTATGTAAAGCAAAGATTAAAACTAAAGTTTGGAATTCGTATTATGTGGCAATATTGTCCTGATCCCCAACAATAGTTTTTCTTTTGCTCCATGTTTATCAGTCATTTCATTCAGCATTGTTTCTGTGGTTTGAGTAATGCATTGCCTGCTTGTTCCATTAAGAGCCATTGAGTTAATAATTTACCATCACTGAGTCAAGAGAGCACTGTTTGACTTCATCCACATAGATCAAATACTCACATCGCCATTGTAAATGTATTAGTCAATGCTGATACCATTTCTGTGGGCAGAATACTCACTCTTAATGAGGCTTGATATTCACTGATCATATAAAGAAAGAGGTGTTTTTGTTGGCACATGTACTGGGTGATGTTTAGAAATATGACTCATTATTCCATGCATCCAATGATTCAGATAAAAAAAAAAATCCAAACCAATCATTTTAAATATACAATAGACTGTTGTCAAAGTAGACAGCTAAATGTCATAATATGATGTGATTGAAAGATATATATGTCTGTCCCTTGTAGCTTCATTAAATATAGATCCTCAAGAAGGTTTATTTGTTAATCTAATTTAGATCTTTAAATCTTTTTTTAAAGAAATTTACACAATACAGCAACCATATCAATGTATGGGCCCCATTTACTTCCATAGTAGGAAAAAAAATACTATGGAAGTCAATGGCTACAGTCAACTGTCTGGTTACCGACATTCTTTAATATATCTTCTTTTGTGTTTAGCAGAAGAACGAAACGCATACAGGTTTGGAACAACTTGAGGGTGAGTAAATAAGGACAAAATGAGGACATTTTGGGGAGAATAGAAGAGTAGTATAGTTTTACACCAAGATACTGTACATGCCTAGCCTGTTAATAACAATTAAAGGAAAAAAAAAAGGAAAAGTGCAATTTAACTTCATAATTGCAATATAAATTGAATAAAATAATAATTGCAATAACTCCTAACTGCTGCCTGAGTAATATTTCCATTGTTTTCTCCCAGCTAGCTAGCTCAGTTCCAGCGTGTAGATGAATTACGAGCAGCCTCCCCCCTACACAGGGCCTGGTCCCACCGCTCCGGGATACCCCGCTGCCAACGCTCCCGGATACCCTCCTCAGGGATACCCTCCTCAGGGATTCCCTGCACAGCCGTACCAAGGATATCCAGTGAACACCGACCAGCCCAACCCTGGTTACCCAAACTACCCTCCTGGACCCCCTGGGTCATACCCAGTCCAGCCAGGATACCAGGGGTACCCACAACCACAGTATGGAGGCCCAATGTATGGGGAACCTCCTAAAAACACTGGTGAGATTCTTGATTTCCTGTCATGTCGAACATTCTCATTTACACAGTCATTGGGTCAGAGTCACTCTAAAACATCCACATTTAACAGTGGAATCAACAGATTTACACAAAAACACAACTAGAACAGTTAGTGGAAATGTTCGTTCCTCATAGTTTGACTAACAGTATGTAATCATTAATAGCTGTATTATTTTCCTGGTGTTCTTTTTTTTTAATAGCAAGTTAACACAGGTCAGAGGATTGCAGGATGTATAATAGCTGTTATGTACATGTTTTAATTAAGTCTAATGGACTTTCATATACAGTGGGGACCCTTTGAGAACACTTTAAAAATACGGAAAATCCATACTAATTACTAAGAGATTCTGACATTATCCAATGTTGTTTTGAAGTCTCCAACAACAGGTTTATATGCATCAAAGGTCAAAAAACTATTTCATTTGATCATAATATACATTTACACAATGATTCTCAAATGAATGAATCATTTCTAAATACCTTCTTTCCAGGAAGCACTCTGCTCTGAATGGCCAGACAGCTCAGTCTTTTGTGATTGGTTTACCGCATACAGTGCTCGTGTCGAAAAACAAAAACGCCCATTTCCATAAATGCAAATGACTAGGTGATTCTACACTGTAAACCAGGGTTTCTCAAACTCTGTCCTGCAAAGTTTAGCTCCAGCCTTGATCAAACACACTTAACTGTGAGTTTCTAGTGATCCTGAAGACCTTGATTAGCTTGCTCAGGTGTGTTTGATCAGGGTTGGAGCTAAACTCTGCAGGACGTTGATTTTACCATATCAATCTGAGCGCGAGTGCGACAATGAAACACTGGAAGAACTATTTAACCCCAACCCTTGACTCGAGCAGGACGCTACTCAGTTATACGCTACTCATTTTGAGGTACATTATGAGATGTTGCAACTGTAATTGCTCACCATCAGCATTAACAAGTGTATTTTTTTATTTTTTATTTACTGATTTACTGTGTTTTTCTAATGTATTGTGGTGAAAATATGGGAACTGTATCAATGACTGATGCAACATACACGTTGGTAAAACCAATCTTGCTCCATCCTTTACTCAAAGTAGTGAGAACGACAGACAGTCTGCATAACTAGACACAGTTTTAGGGAATATTGGTACACAGCTGATTAGCAGATATTAATAACGTGAGTTAGCCGGAGACCTAGACAATATCAAACTCAAAACTAAGTATTTTGAACACCGGTAGAAAATATATACATTAATAATTAGAGTTAGGTTGTGATTCTGAGGAGCAAGTTAGTCCAATATTTGGATATTATCCAATATTATTACATTATACATTTATATTATTACTATACACAACCTAACTCTTTATTAGTCTATTTGATGTGTGTGTTTACATTTGTCAGATGTGAAATAGACGTTTAGAAGATGTCTTTAAGATGTAATGATTTAGAATGCATAAACGTCTGTTTGACATCTGACAGCGAACTCTCTTAAAAATATGTCTTCCAGATGTAAATATCACATCAAATAGACTTGTGCAATCTGGGACTGAGGACTGACCTGTCTTTCATTTGAAAACTGATTCATTCGAGAAAATAACTTTATGTATATGTGGTGCTAAACTTTGCTGGATGATTTCATTCACTTACACACTACATGAAAGCCTGAGCTGTATGTCTGTGTTTTTCCTCCAGTGTATGTTGTGGAGCAGGGCAGACGGGAAGATTCTGGGGACCAGGCCTGTTTAACCGCATGTTGGACGGCTCTGTGTTGCTGCTGTCTCTGGGACATGTTGACTTAGAATATTAAGGAAAACCGCTGTGACCTCCTAAGCTTTCACTCCATGTTTCAATCCTCATTTAATCTATGACTACTGAAAAATAACTGAGAAACAAATAGAGCAATGTTTTTGTTGTAGCCTCCATTTCCAGCAGTCCAGCTTGAAGCACCTCTTTTTACTCCTTCAATGATGCACGATACGCACCGAGAGACTGATTACACTCATTGATCTTATTATTCGTAGAGGCATATTAAATAGAATGTGTTTATTATTTGTCTAATACAAATGTCATTTTTCTTTAACGAATGCAAAAAAATGTCAAATTGCTTGTATATAAGACCAGATTTGATAATCAAATATGGCCTTGCACAGTCTGTGAATGTTTGATCTGTCTTAATGAGTCAATCAAAGACGAAAAAAGTTTGTTTCTATTAATAAAAATGATGGAAATAAGCCATGTCATCGCTTTTGTTTACTCAAAATGTGTTTTTTCTGCTTTACTAGCATAATCAAATTGGGACTGCCAAAACAATGACTTTTCAAACAAATTTTCCAGACACTCCTCCAGTGTTGTGTTGCTGTGCTGGCAAGGTCTTGGTGCTCAAACAAGCAGTGCAATGTAGTGTTTACATATATTCTGAGAAAACCAACTTGCAGTTTCAGCATATTGAACTGGCATCTGGTAAAAATACACTCTGAACATTTAATTGCAAATTTTGTGAATATTTTAAACACAATACAAGGCAACAGACCTGAACCTTTGCCACAAAGTATAATACATATTCAACTGATTATTGGCTAATTAATTATCAGCATTTTTGTCTGTGTTTTCAGCTGTAAATGTATTGCAGAACTCTAGCTAAACAATAGTATTGACTGGGAATCCTGTTAGGAATTGTTTGCTGAGCTGCAAATGCATTTTTAATGAGGATTTTTTTTTTTATTAGTCCTCACACCTCGCTGGCTTTTCGTAGTGTTGTGTTGAAAAGCTCCAGCTGTCAGGTACTGTACTAGACTACATGCCTTTCCCTACTCTTAAAATTAATCTCTGACAGGAAATGCAGGTTCTTAAAAGATAGATGTAAAGATGCTAATTTGGGGCATTAGATACGCTGAGCATATGGCTATGCCAGAGACTAATGTTAATGGTTTATGAATGTAGGTGTGTGTTAGGTAAGCAGCATTTATGAATGTGACATTACATAACGTGTTTGTTTGAGTGTTTTCAACATGTACTTACCAGATTCTCTAGAGCAGAGCAACACTCTTGAGTGATTTCTTCCCCCAGCACCAGTGTGCATCAGTTAACTAGAAGAGGTTACCATGGGTGTAAACTTAAAGGGATAGTTCACTTTGAAATTATTTTTTGATATGTTTTAGCTTACCTTAAGGGCATCCAAGATGTAGGTGTCTTTGTTTCCACAGTATTTTCACTTTTGACATTTTTCAGTCAAACCGTTGTTGTCTGCCAGTCATATAATGCAAAGAGCATGACTTGTAAATACACATTGATGGCCTCTTGTCCACACGTTTGAAAACGTATATTTCTCTCTCCGTTTTGGCCTTCCGCGGTGTTTTAAGTCAACAAAAACGTATCGTTTGGAAAACACTCTCCTGAAAGTGGATAAATTTGAAAACGCCGTTTTCGCGTTGTAGTGTGGACAGTGAAACCGGAGGTATTTCAAAACGATGACGTACTTAGTCATGTGATCCATGTAGTACCAATACACGGAGATTTCGGAAGTTTTACCTTTAACTAAACATATTTAGATATAGCGAAATCGTCTTCCATTGCGATTTCCTGTATATCAAAATATGTTTAGTGAAAGGTAAAACTTCCGAAACAAAGAGTGACGTTGGCGCGCAAGCGATCAGATCGAAGCGCTCGTGCCGTCAGATCAGTTTGACATTGTCATGATTACACGAGGTAAAATGGTATTATTGTTATTTACAAACTTTAATATGAATCTCCACAGCTGTTTATGTTTGTCAGTCCACGGGAATCTTCACAAAACTCTAATGTTCTCAGCTGACTGTCATTCCACCTCACTGGCCCAAGACAATCACTGTTTGACTTGTACTGTTGTAGTTCTCTGGCATTTTAACTTCAATTCTGGATAAGGGAATAACAGGACAAGTCATTGTTTTCTGTGCGCTCACAATGTAACAGTGTTATGGAACTGAGTCAGTAATCACAATATAGGCTCAACTGCAGAGATGTGCTAGGTCGGCAATAATCTACTAGACAGAATATAATGCAATTTTGACGAAACTTTGGGGATTTAGAATTGTTGAGTTGACTGATCGTTAAGTGATGATTATGAACGAAAACAAACAAAATCCTTCAAAAAATCAAGTTACATTTTGGGGGAATAAAAAATTACACAATGAAAAAAAAGAACCATGTAGACCTAAAAAAAAACAAACAAAAAAAAAACCCTTTGGTAACACTTTACTTCAAGGGTTGTGCATAAGACTTACATGACACCTTCATAACCATAACATGACATATTTCTTGAATATGAAGTAAGGTTTATGCATGTTTGTGACAACTGTCATTAAGTGTCTTTTGCTCAATAATGGCATTTTGAATGCAAATATGACATTGTTTAAGATGTCTTTATGATCTCGACATAAACCATTAACATCATAACCTGTCAGTGTCTTTGTTATGACATCTTGACATCAAATTAACTTAAACTGTCATGTGGTTGGCTTTGACATTGGCTGTCATGAGGCATTATAATTGTGTCATGAATATTTTTCGTGACCTCAACAACAGTGGTACTAATTGAATTTGTCATTAAAAAGTTTCATGACAGCTAATGTGAAAACCAAAAGCTAGGTGGTTTCCTAAGTTTGATAATTAATCTGCTATGTCATGTGACAGGTCGTGTTGTCTTTGTAATGTTAAGTTGCCATGACAAAGACACTGACAGGTTATGATGTATTGGTTTATATCAAGGTGTCATAACAAAGACATCTCAAACAATGTCATATTTGCATTAAAAATGTCATAACTGAGCGAAAGACACTTAATGACAGTTGTCACAAACATGCATAAACATGCTTCCTTCATATTCATAACAAATGTCATGATTATGAAGGTGTCATGTTAGTCTTATGCACACCCCTTCAAGTAAAGTGTTACCAACCCTTTTTCTTTTAGACAGAAAGAGCTGTAGGGATTGAGGTTGGTCCACTGATAAATGGGTTGTTGCTTTTCGTATTAAATAAACAGACAATCACCTCATTTTCATTACGTTAACTCTGAACTTTGGCAGCATCACTTGTGGCATTGATGGAACGCAAGTGTTCTGCTCAGCTGTAAAGGAAAGAATTCAAAGTACAAATGAAAATGTTTTATTTTCATAGAATTTCCAAAGAATGTCCTTCCACCGCCGTCTGAGTGTAACTTTTCTAGAAGAAGCTGAAGAGATATCCACACTGACTTCACATCGATAAAGAAAAAAGGCCAATGTCTGCTTTAGCTTTCATAATATTTAAAGAAAACAACCTCTGCAATGAGTCTTGCAATGGATTTTCACATTACGTAATGATGAAGCCACTTCCTCGAAATGTTCTTGATTTAACACACCCGAACAGTCAATGAGAATATTTTACATGTGTAGTATGTTTCACAGTTTTAAAAGACTTAAAAAACAATATATATTACGCTTTCATCTGATATCACTTGTCAAGTTGAATTTAAATTAATAAAATGATAATAAAAAACCCAGACAATCAATAATCTCTCTTACATATTATACAAAACAGTAGTCTGATGTACAGTCCATTGATCAATGCATCAGCCCCTGTTGTGATTGTCATATATTACGAACAGAAGAGGACAGATGGTGTGAGCTGAAGATCAACACATCTAACGAAGGCCAATCCGAAAGCTCAGCCTCGGTTGAAATCTTCATACAGAACACTGCAGTGACGTCTACCAGGAAAGGAAATGTCGAGATGCCGCAGTTCCTTTTGAACGTGTTCCAGTGTAGTTTCACAAATATGTATGCGAGCATGTGACTGTTGTATTGGGTAATGCGGCCCGAGTGTGATTGAGTGTGATTTTCTGTAATGGTTTGATATGCAGTCATGAAAAACCAAAGCAGTGAGCCATCGTACTATCATCACACGAACGTCCCCCACTCACAGCCAGTCTGAAATGACTCAAAAATATTTACCACTTCCTATAAAGTCAAAATGTCACTACAAAATCATTGTTCACAAGTGCTTTTTTTCAATATTGGGTCAGAGTGTTCTCGCTGCCGGCTGTCGGTTCTCCATATTTGGGAAACGGCTCTGCAGCACGCTGTTGTTTCTCTCCGTAGGAGATGGTGTGGCATCAGCGACAGCTGAACTCTGTTACCTCCTGCCCATCTCGTTCTGTTTGAGGAACTGGATGTTAGCGCTGCTGTCTGCCAGTTCAGGGTACTGCTCCACCGGGAGCACGTAGTAGCCCTCGTATCCCACGACCTTCCCCATTGCTAACAGTTGTTGCTTCTCGTTTTCAGCCCACACGCGTCCTCCTTCCCTGCCCTCGCGAGCTTGCTGCTGCTCCCTGGCCCAGGCTCCGGAGAGCGCCCTCTGGTGGGCCTGTTCCAGTACACGGCTCCGCTCCTTTTCCAGAACCTCTGCTGACAGCCCGTAGCGCACGCTGTATGTGAGCTTGGAGGAGTGGATTTCTAGAGTGACGCCGCGGCGTGAGCGTCCGCTGATCGTTACGTTTATCCCGCTCTCCAGTGATTTGTGGCCACTGCTGAGACCCAGCGCCAGCAAGTCGCTGTCAGCAAGTCCAAGCTTCACAAAGAAGTGGCAATCCCGGCCATCGATGGTGTAATGAGTGCCGTCCAGGTAGATCGCGTTGCTGAGGATCTGTGATATTTTGCGACTGTCTTCGCTAGCTGAGCTGGACAGGTCTGTTAATACGTGGCCATCCCTGATAGCGAACATCATGCCTTTGCCCACGATGGGGGTGCTGGTGCCAAACCAGTAACCGGGCTTGTCACGCTTGGCGCACCGCAGTTTATTGAGCCGCCTCCCCTCAAGAACCATGAAGGCCTGGTTGTGTCTGTCTACTGAATGCTGAACTCCAGTGAAGAGCTGTAATGGAATGAATAGTTAGTGACACCTGATAAAAGTGGTTATGTAACTGTTTGTTTATTAACAGAGGTCTCAAACTCGCGGCCCCTACTTGATATTAAAGTTTAATGTTAGTGCGGCCCGTCGTGTTTGCCGCGTTTTATTATTATTATTATTTTTATCCCTTATGGGCTACCATATATAGTCTCGTGACAGCTTACAGTGGGTTTGTTGTCAATAGTTGTCATAGACAACCACAAAGTACAAATATACTGCGCCTGGAAAAAATGAGCGCGTCGCTTCAATTATGAGCGCGCTGGGCGCTTGATGCGCAACAACATTTGAAACGTACTTGAGCGAGCGAC